AATGGTGGTTCCATTCCCAGCTTTCCAAGAAATCTCCATACTGCTTTCCAAATTGGCTGCACCAATTTGCAGTCCCACCAACCATGTACAAGTGTACCCTTTTCCCCACATCCTCGCCAGGGTAATTTCCAAAAAAAATAAAATACTTGGGAATTACCCTGCGTTTATAGTCTTTAAAAAATAATAATAATGAGAGTAGGATTCTGCAACCTTCTGGGAAACAGAAATATAACAGTGTTCTCAAGCCAATCATCTTAGAATAAACCTTAAAACTGTTTTTCTTTAGTTTCTTACATAAGACCCTTATTTCTAAAGCACTTTCCTGGACTACTTAACAATAGAAGTGAACAAACTATTGATTCACACCATAACTTGGAGGGAATTCTAGAGAATTATGCTCAGTGAAAAAAGCTAATCTTAAAAGGACACATATTGCCAAGTGTGATGGTGCAAGTCCATAATCCCAGCTACTCAGGAAGCTGAGGCAGGGGGATCACAATTTCAAGGCCCCTTCAGCAATTTAGCAAGACCTTGTCTCAAAATAAAATTTAAAAGGGTTGGGATGTAGCTCAGTGGTAGTGTGCCCCAGTTTAATTCCCAGTACTGCAAACAAAACAAAAAACATACTATGTGATTCTATTTATATAACATCTCTCTCCATTCTTTCCTCCCTCCCTCCTTCCTTTCTTTCCTTTTCTTCTTTCTTTCCTTGCTTCCAGTCCTGGGAATGGATCCCAGGGCCCACTGAGCTACATCCCCAGCCCCATTTATATAACATCCATGAAATAATAAGACTATAGACATAAAGAACAGGTTACTAATTGACAGGGGTTAAGCCTGGGGTTTTGATAGGGAAGGGGGTAAATATGACTATATTTTTATTTTATTTTATTTTGGTACTAGGAATTGAACCCAGTGGTGCTTAACCATTGAGCAACATCTCCAACACTATATATATATTGTTTTAGGACCTCGCTAAATTGCTGAGACTGGCTTTGAATTTGCGGTCCTCCTGCCTTAGCCTCCTGAACCACTTTGATTACAGGCACGTGCTACCACGCCCAGCCACAAGTGTGACTCTAAAAGGTTGGCATGAGGGATCCCTCTGATTTGTGGTGGTTGCCACACAAATCTACACATAAACTGCACAGAACTAAACATACTCACACATACAAAAGAATGAGGTAAAACTGGTATAGTTTCAATAAGGTTAGTTGGTGTATCCTGGTGTTTTGTTTGGTGTGAGGGATTGAACCCAGGGGAACTTTTATTACTGAACTACATCTCCAACACTTTCTAAAAATTTTTATTTTGAAATAGGGTTTTGTTAAGTTGCCAGTGTTGTTCTCAGACTTGTAATCCTTCTGCCTCAGCCTCCCGAGGTGCTGGGATTACAGGCCTGTACCACTGTGCCTAATCAGTATCCAGGTTTTGATAGTGTGCTCTAGTTATGCAAGAAGTTTCCAGGGCTGGGAGTACATCTCTGCATTATTTTTTACAATTTCATGTAAGTCTCCAATTATCTCAAAATAAATGCAAAGTTTTTGTTTAATTGAAAAAAAAATAGCACAGGAACAAAAATAATAGATCTAATTAAAAGATTAGGAAGTCCAGAATTTGATATTTATTTTCTTATGCATTATTTATTTATCTATTTTTGGTACTGGGGATTGAACCCATCCAGGTTCAATCTGAGCCACATCTCTAGCTCTTTTTATATTTTATTTTGAGACAGAGTCTCATTGAGTTGCTTAGAGCCTAGATAAGTTGCTGAGGCTGACTTTGAATGTAGGATCTTTCTGCCTCAGCCTCCTGAGCCACTGAGATTATAGGCATGTGCCACTGCACCCAGCTATTTATTAATCTTTGTGATATTGAGGATTGATACCCAGGCCTCATGTATGCCAGGCAAGTGCTATACCCCTAGCTTTGTATATAAATATAAATAAATCCTAGTATACAGTAATCAGAAAAAAAAAATCCTTTTCTCAATTGTCACCTTTGAGTTCTATCATAGCCTGAATTCTAGTCGCCAATTCACATGTAAAAGAGAGAGGAAATGCTCTCAAAGACTAGTAAGCTTTTAGCCTTGATTATTTCTTGATGGTAGGTCAGGAATTGGTTTATCTTCTGAGTGATATGTCTTTGTAAATGCCTATAAAAATAGTGAAAGACCAATAATAAATCAAGATAAAAAATAAATAATAGATAATAAAGTATCCAAAAATAAGATTTGTTTAATTATAAAAGAGGGAGCTCAAAAAAAAAAATTAAATAAAAAGGCAAGCTTCCCCAGAGCTCAGGAACAGACTGCTGAGAGCTAAGCCAAACAGTTTTCTATGAAAGTTTTTTTTATTTTTTATTTATTTATTTTTTAAAGAGAGAGTGAGAGAGAGGAGAGAGAATTTTTAATATTTATTTTTTAGTTTTCGGCGGACACAACATCTTTGTTGGTATGTGGTGCTGAGAATCGAACCCGGGCCGCACGCATGCCAGGCGATCTCGCTACCGCTTGAGCCACATCCCTAGCCCATGAAAGTTTTTTTTAAATAAACTTATTGACCAACAAGCTTATTAACCAAGCAGCAAAAGATTAATTAAACACATATTAAAATAAGAAATATATAATCACCTAGTAGGCCCAGCTACTGGGCTCTCTCTAGAACAGTATAAATGTCAGAAACAACCCAGTCCTTCAGAAACATAGCTCAGAAGCTATGGGTTGGAGGCTATCTGTGTACTTCATCTGCCTGTGAGAATTCTGAGTGCTTCGGTATCCCCTTATGAACGGCAAGGAAAATACAGTCTCTATCTCATAAGTTACTGGGAAAACTGAATTAGCATGCACAAAGTGTTTATAACAGTATCTGTCACATAATAAGTGCTCAATATAGTGGAAGTTATTCTTTACCTTTTCTTTCTCCTGGGCAGCCCTTCATCTAGGAGAAGATGAGCCCAGGGAGTAATCTCACAAAGAGAAACCTGGAGAGAGATGCCTCTCATCTCATGGCTACATATTTCACTCCTTACTCCAGGGAGGGAAACAGAAAAGCTTGTTTCCCTAGGGATTCAGCAGCCCAATCCCATGGCCCTCCCTTGTCCATCCATATGGCGCTAACACTAACTTCACCCTGCATCATCTCATACCACCAGCACACTGCCTCCTGACACAGTATCACACGCCATGATGAACCCAATCTCCCTGATATCCCCTTCACAGGTGTCATATTTGACAATGTAAGGATAAGCCTGCAATTGGTCACTGGTCAGGTTTATTGACTAATGGTGATAAGGGGGCTACACACAGGGCACTGTGTGGCTTCTAGCCTAGAGTAGTTTCTTAAAGAAATGGAACAATTGTGGGATTTAAATTTTCGAGTGACATTTATAAAAATAAAGCACGAAGCCAAAGCAGGATTGGATGTAACAGGCAGGTCTCCACTACCATGAAGCCCAGCAGGAACAACCTGAAGATGCATGTGGAATACCATATCCAGCAACCTGTCCCCCCATGCTGGATGCTCTGGTTGGAAATGGAGGCTGCATCTCATGTCAGTGACAAGTGCACCAGACAAGGGTGGGGTTTCATTTTAACGGGATTTCATACAGTAGAGCTTCTCAAGGTTTATTGATTGTGGTGATCCAGGTTTCTCTGAGTCAGAGTGCCATGCTGTTTCCTTTCTCCTTGGCAGGCTGGTTCCCTCCTGTTACCCCAGACTTGGATCAGGCAGAGCTTTTTTTTTTTTGCCTCCTCCTTTCTCAGAAGCCATCCACTCACACCAACATTCTCCTGAGTCTAAAGATGAGAGGAACTCTTGCACTACTCCCTCTAAGATTGAAGGGTGGGCTTGGAAGCCACCTTGAGTGGGCTCTCCTGGGATGGCCTCCCCATGAGAGCCCCTCAATCCTCCTGCTCCAGCCCTCCCACAGGGCTCTGCTGCACAGCTAGCGGCCCTCTGTGTGCCTGAGAAAGGTGCTCCCTGCAGCGCAGCACGGCACCTGCCTCCCTTTTGATTTTATCACCTGCATTCCAGTCACGCTGCCTTTTTTCTACTCCTGAGAATCAGCGAGGTCATCATGCCCTCCGGTAGTTTGCATGCGCAAACTCTATGAAGGTGGTTTGCGTGGCTCCTCTAACCTTTCACCTCTGAGGACTCAGCTCCTGTGTCACCTCTTGGCTGGAAAACTGGTCCACCACAGAGCTTATCCCCCGCTCCCGCTGCAAATGCTGGGATCCTGCAGGCTTTGTGGAGCCAGCAGGGCAACGGGGAGAGCTTGCCCAGGTCCTCAGGTCTTTTGTCCACTGGACCTGGACCTGCCTGGGCTACTACAGCATGTCAAATGGCATGTCGAGAATGCGTGACTGGCAGGCACTTCCACACACCTCCTGGTGGAGGAAGACAAAAAAATAAGGCCTTCAGGGAGCAGGCTTTGGATATACCAAGGAACTCAGATTTGCATAGATGACTTTTGTTTCTAAAATGCATCATGCATGGCTTTTTGGCATGGAATTTTTTGTGAGGTCTCTCAGGAAATTGGGGATGGGTATACCATTTGTTGATCTAGGGGGATACAGGGTTTTCCTGGGGTGGACAGGTCAATGAAGGAATTGCTGCATTTCCTGGGCTGTGCCAGCTAGAGAGTGCTCATTGAATAAGGGTGAGCCACTGAGGGTCATTCTAGGTTGCAGGACTTCTAGTGTCTCTAGGCAAGCGGTGAAAAGTATAAGGCTTTTTGATAAAAACATTGTGGTTTTTCATGTGGTGCATGGATCCCTATGGGGCTGGCTAGAATGGGAGATATGGTATATATTGAGGGAGGGGTTCAACAATGGGAGGGGTCTCAAAATCTTTCTATGAGCGGGCCTCCAGATACATAGGAGGCTAAAAGGAGCAATCTGCAGGATGCCCCCTGCCATTTCCTCCCAGACCTAGAGAGGATCACAAGATCGCTTGAGGGAGTGGTGAGAACAATTTAATTTATAAATAAATTTTGGACAGCCCCCTGATCAGAAGGGCACCTAACAGCCCATCTTGGAAGAGAGACCATTCCAGTGGATAAGGCCTCCAGTGGGGAGACAGGAGCAGCCACTGGCAAAGGCTGAGATCACGAGGAGTCCCTCCAAGCTGGTCCTGTGCTCAGCAGGTATTGGCAGAGCCTGCAAAGAGTTGGGGCGGGCCTCAGAGATGCATCCCTATGCAGTCACCCCTTCCCTCCCCCAACTCCTCAGAAGCCCAGCTCACCTGGAGTGATGAGTGGAATGTTTTTTTCAGGTAAGGGACTAGAGAAAGGATGTAACCAGATTAGCATCAGGTTAGCATTGAGGATCTTCTATCTTCCTTCCCCAGGACTCCTGGTTTCCCTCCCTCTGGGGGCACACTTGGCTTGCTGCTCTTCCATGGCCCCTTCTACAATGAGCAGAGCTTTCTCTGATTTGGGGCCCCTTGGGAAGATTATTTGTCAATAACAAATTCCACTGTCATGTCAGTGAGTAACCTCCAGGCTGCTACCCAGGCCTTACTACTTTACCACCTAATAAATCTGCGGAAGGGAAGGGAAGGGAAGGGGAGGGGAGGGGAGGGGAGGGGAGGGGAGGGAAGGGAAGGGAAGGGAAGGGAAGGGAAGGGGAGGGGAGGGGAGGGGAGGGGAGGGAAGGGAAGGGAAGTCTGCTCATCAGGAAGAGCACACATTAGTGTCCCTGTCTCACCTGGGGGTCTGAGTGCACTTGCATTTGCACTTGCCACCTAGGAGAGGAAGAGCCAGTGTGAGAGCCAGCTGGAGTCAGTTCCCCCCAACTCTCCCACGCTGACAGCCCCACCACTCACTCAGGGCCATGGCACATCCAGCAACACAGAAGAGACCTGCGAAGATCATCCCACCCAGCTGCAGGCTTTCCCAGTCTGAGGTGGAGATAGTTAGGAGAGGACAAAGAATGAGCTCACATCAACCTGTGGACTCACATTCATTCAGAAGATATTTATGGGGATGGGGGTGTGGTTCAGTTGTAGAGCACATGTGGGAGGTTCTGGGTTCATTCCCCAGCCAAAAAGAAAGAAAAAAGGTGTTTATAAGCACCTGCGTGGGTGGAGTACTATAAATAAATGCCTGCCCACCTGGCACTTACATTCCAGGCAATGAAAAGACATGAAACCAGTAGATAGTACATCGTGTAGTATTTGATGAGGTCAAACACTATGAGGAAGCCAGGCTTGGTGGCACATGCCTGTAATCCCAGCCACTCTGGAGGCTGAGGTGGGAGGATCGCCAAGTTCAAGGTCAGCCTCAGCAATTTAGTGAGGCCCTGAGCAATTCTCACCAAAAACAGATTGAATCTCCTGCCCCCGCTTTGCCTATACTGGTCTCCACACCACCCTTTGCCAACTTGTCTGGCAAAGAGGCCCAGGATAGAAAAAGGGTGGGGGATATCAGCTCTTACCATAGTAGAAGGGACTATCTTTATCTGCAGGAAAAAGAAAATAAAGAAAGAATAAAGGCCAGAACCAGGAGACAGGATGTGGGGTCTCAGAGGGGAACACATGGGGCAGAGTGGGCATGCAGCTGGGGGCCTCACTCACCAAACAGCATGTTGGCTTTCAAGACAGGCAGGCCTGGGTGGGAAAAGGAGAGGAAGTGACACTGGTGTCCAAAGAGGTCAGTTGGGGAGGTGATTCTGGAACCACCAGATGCATTTTTTATACCTTCTCCAGCTCCAACACTCCTGGGATTTTGCTTCCCACCCTGAATCCTTCACCATACCGCCCCCCCACACCCCCACAGGCTTCCTGCTATTCTTTCTTGCATTCTATCTTATTCTTTTCTTTTTTGTGTGTGTATGTTGAGGGGTTACCAGGGATTGAATTCAGAGGCACTAGAGGACAAAGCCACATCCCCAGGCCTATTTTCTATTTTATTTAGAGACAGGGTCTCCCTGAATTGCTTAGCACCTCACTTTTGCTGAGGCTGGCTTTCAACTCGCCATCCTCCTGCCTTAACCTCCCTAGCTGCTGGGATTACAGGCGTGTGCCGCCGCCACACCCGGCCTTCTTTCTCGAATTCTGAATGAGATAACTTGTTGATACCTGTTTAACCTTTCCTGGGAAGCTTTCTGCCAGAAACATGTGACTTTTCTGCCTTCTCAAAAAAACAGGACATGCCTTTTTTTTATTTTATTTTTTATTCTGGGCATTGAACTCAGGGCCATTTTACCATTGAGCTACACATCCAACCCTTTTTATGTTTTATTTTGAGACAGGGTCTCACTAAGTTGCTTTGGGCCTCACTAAGTTGCTAAGGCTGATCTCCAACTTGCAATCGTCCTACCTCAACCTCTGGAATTGCTAGGATTACAGGCATGTACCACCATGTCCAGCCAGGGCATGCCTTTCTGTTTGTGCCACAGATAGTCAATTTTCCACAGTTCAATGACTCAGGAACCATTAGAACAATTTTTTTGAGAGTCCACATTCCACCATACTAGAATATCCTTCAGTTGACAGTTTAAATGTAAACACATTTATTGGACACCGACCCTCCTGATCTTTACTGCCTTGGCCAGTGAGTAAGATGACTAGATAACTGTGTCAAGAGGCCGAGAGGACTCACCTGCCAGCACCATGAGAAAGGCCCAGGTCACTCTTTCCATGTCACAACTTGTAAGGCAGTACTGCAGGGTGAGACACACGGGGAGAAAGAGGTGGTTTGGGGTCCACAATCCAAAATCTGCCCCAGGCTCATTGTGTAACCCATTAGCAAGAGGGGGCAAGAGAAGGGCAGAGCCCCGTTGTGAGAGTAGGATACAAACCTGGACAAATGCACCTGCTTATAGGTGATTCTGGGCTATTTTGTTTTCTCATCTAGACTGCCTAGAGGAGTTATGTGGATTGGTTAATTCTAGTTAAGCACTCAGAGCAGTGCTTGCACATAGTAAGGACTATAGAAGGCTTTTGAGGAGATAAGATATTTACAGCACCTTTCTCCCCATTAGAAAGATATTATCATTATCTCCCTTTCCAGAAGGGAAAAAAAGGGGGGGGGGATTCAGAGAGGGGAAACAAGATGCTCAAGATCAGGTGGCTGTTCTTCCAAGTCAGGGTTGGAGGGTGCTGACTATCAGACCCTGGCTATTCACAAGGGTCTGAGCTGGGGTGGCCAAACTCTGGAACTCTCTGGCTGAGTTCCCAGATAGCCCTAGAATCCCAGCACCTAGGGCAAAAGGGAGTGAGCCACTCTGAGGAAAAGGGACTGCTGCAGTGAGGACCTCCTCTTTCAGCCAACCCCCCCATCTCTGCTCCAGGCAGCCCTAGATTCCACTCTCAGGATGTAGATGATATCGTCTAGAAAGATCCACTGAAGGTGGGACACTGATCCTTCTCAGGCAGGTAGTTGCTACCCACAATCCCATTTATTTGTCTCTCAGGCGGCTGAGTCCTTGAGATAAAGCCCTTCCCAGCTTTCTGCATATTGTTAGCCACAGGCTCAGTTCTGAAGCCACTGTTATTATCGGCTATGCCCAGCTTTGGCCTCCTAATGAGATCACAGATCCCAGGCCAGCTGGCTGGGCGCGAGTCCCCTCTGAGCCACTTACCAGTTTTGTGACTCAGCAAGTTGCTTCTCTGGGCTTCAGGGTCCTGTAAATAATAGCAACCTTGTAAGTTATAACGATGGAATGAAATGAACCGCTATTTGTCTAGCCTAAGAAATATGCCTAGCACTGAAAACCTGTTATAATGCATATAGATGTAAACAAGCACTTGGGTCCTTTCACCCTAGGAGGAGGTACTATTGGCATGGCTTCTGAATGCAGTAGGTGGGAGTGCATTACATGCTAGGCCAGTTTGAGAATCTGGCTTTCCTTTGGCCTTCGTTGGCCTCTCCCCGCCACCCTTTTCTGCCAAAGTTTCTGAACTTTTAGGCTCTTATCTCCAGTTCATATATTCTTCAGCCAAAGGCTGGCTCCTCTTTCCTCCAGCCTCCAACCCATCATCCAGACAGCGATCACAAAGTAAGATGCCCCAAGCTCCAGGAGGCTGCTACAACTTCTGACCTCAAAACCTCTAAGCTCTATACCATAACTCAAATTCCTGGCGCACCCCCCATCCCTTATGAACTTGGGTCCCAGGTCATCCCCCCTCCACCTAGCAGCTTCAAAATCCTAGCAAGTGCTTGCTCACCTGAGAGCTCACCTGAGCCAGGTGCAGAGAGTTCTGAGGAGCCTGCTGGGCTATGGACAGCCCAGGTGGGTTCCGGCTCTTTAAACCCAGGGGCCCCGCCCAGGGCAACACACCAGCAGGCTGGAGGGAACTGGTCAGACTCCTTGGATTCCTGCAGCCACCCCTCCCCATGTGCTAATCTTAAGGAGACAGCTCACCTGCCACACCCAGAGCACGGCCATCTGGGGTCCCAGGCCCGCTCAGAGCTGAGGTATGAGGGGAAAGGGGAGAGAGATGGGCTAGGACTCAGACCCTCTCTGGAGGATGCAGCTTCCTTAATTCACCTAAATTCTAAAAGATGGTCCAGAGGGGTGTGATTGAGGGGACAGACAGGTGTTGCCATGGGGTGGGGGGTTCCAGGGCTTCTGTGTGTGGGTGTCCTGGGGACAGTAGAGTGGTTGAGAAGTTGAGAACTGGTCTTGAGGCTCCATTTGCTCAGTGGTCTCATTGCTTTTACTTGAACTGGGTGTTCTTGGATGGAGAGGGCTGGGGCTCACAGATACTCCTTGAATTGCTTCCCCTCTGACCAGGCCCTCATAATATGTGACTCTGGTCATAATCAGAAACTGCCTTCCTCACAGAGGTGGGGTGGAGTTGGGCGGAGGGGGGTACAGTACCAGGAGGAAGACAGTTGGCTCTGTTTGTTGCTGGCCAAACTCACCCTGTCACACACGTGCCTTTAGATGACCTCATCAGACCGCTGTTCTGCTGTTCTTCCTACCTGATTCTTCTTTGCTAAATGAGGGACAATTTATCTAGAAAGTAAAGAGGATGGCTGAAAAGGAAGTGGAGGTCTCTGGCCTGGACTTGCTGGGAAAGGCCAGATGGGTAAGCTGTTGGTAGAAGTTGGAGAGGGGATGCTCTCCAGTCCACTAGGATAGAACTGGGTCAGAACACAGAGACTCTATGAGTAGAACACTCTACCAAGCCATTGACCCAGAGTTGGGGGGAGGGGTTGGGAGGGGCAGGCACACTCTGAAAGTAGAGATGCCAGGTAGGAGGAACCCCAGACTCACCGTCTACATGATTCCTCCAGGAGATTCATCAGACTCTGCACAGAATCAAGCAAGCTGGAGGGCTGACATGACTTCTCCCTGTGTTTACTGGGGACTGAGAGAGTTGCCTCAATGAGAGGGCTCAGGGCGGGCACAGGGCAAGAGAAGGTAGGGGAAGTTAGGAATAGAGAATTGGGCTTGGTAAGGTATCCTTGGGAACTAAGTGGCTGAGAAAACTTTGGGCTAGGTAGAAAGCATCTCTCATTCAGAGACATGGGGTTCTCTGTCTCCCTGGGAGGCCCCCAGCAAGATGGGGACAGATGGGGATTTCTCCTGGGCACTGTCTATGACCTCTGCCCAAGATTTCATGACCAAGGGTATGGAAAAAGCAGGCACACTTTCTACCTAAGCATGCGCAGTCTTTGCAAAGACTGAAGCAATTCTGTGTGTACTAACTTGAAAATATCTCCCCAGCCTGACATGGTGACGCATGCCTGTAAGCCCAGTGTCTTAGGAGGCTGAGGCAGGAGGATGGTGAGTTCAAAACCAGCCTCAGCAAAAGCAAGGCACTAAGCAACTTAGTGAGACCCTGTCTCTAAATAAAATAAAATTAAAAAAAGGGGCTGGGGCTGTGGTTCAGTAGTTGAATGCCCCAGAGTTCAATCCCTGGTACCAGTACCCCACCCCCACCAAAAATTTCTCAGACATGTTTTATAATTGAAAAAAAACATAGATCAGTCTGAATAGGATGCTGGCACACTTGTGGAAAAAATCATGAAATGTCCATAAGTGCTTCAATCTGCAGGGACTCAGAAGCTGCAGGTGGCAGGGCTTCCTGGGCAAGAAGTCCAACAGCTGAGGCACAGGTAGAGGGGACACTCTCAACTGGCCCTTCTGTGCCTACCACCTGTGTTCAGAAACAGAAGTACACACACTAGTTAAGGGCAGACTCTGTGGGCCAGGCCTGCTATGGCTGCTGCTGCCCTCATGACCTGTGCCCTGTGCGGTCCTCCACTCTGGGCATAGTATAGAGGTGTCCAAATAGTTTCTGAGAGTTTGGTGCTTACTCAGCCCAGCTCTTTCCTTGAGCTTATTTCACATAATATTTCATGTGTATCTCATGGCTCACAAGTGTTCTATGAGGTACATATTCCAATTATTCCCACTTTATGAGTAAGAAAATTAAGGAGTCTAGAGTGATGTCAGGACCGTACCCCAGCAGTTATGACAGTGACACTTTCACTTGTTATCACCTATGGCAACTGCCTTGCTGTGCTTTTGGCCTTTCTGGGCACCAGTCTCCTGAAGAGTGGATCTGAGCCTTCTTGGCACTGACGTTCTAGGTGTCTGTCTCCTGCTCTTTCTTTTTTCACGTCTCTGGGTGTTCCCTGACATTCTCCTCACGTGTGGGAAGTAGAGTTTGGTAGCTTTGAAGTAGTAAGAGTTTGAACCTGAGACCCGTCTTCCAAGATGTGTGACACTGGAGGGGGGTTCCACCTCCCTGGGTCTCTATGTTTATTTTATTTTTTTCATATGAGGGATTGAACCCAGGGGCACTTAACCACTGAATCACATCCCTAGCCCTTCTTATTTCTTCTTTTGAGACAAAGTCTCACTAAGTTGCTGAGGCTGATTTTGAACTTATCATCCTCCTGCCTCAGCTTCTTGAGTTACTGGAATTACAGGCATGCACCACCATGCCCTTCTGGGTCTCTATGTTTAAATTTATTAAGAGAGAATAGTAAGGGGGCTAGAGATATAACTCAGTGGTAGAGCTGTTGCTTGGCATGCAGGAGGCCCTGGGTTCAACACCTAGCAATGCTAAAAAAAAAAAAAAAAAAAAAAACCAAGAAGTGAAAGCCTGATGTAGAGGACTTGATTGCTGAAAAGGGCTATCTTGTCATGGTGGTCTCCATGGTGGTGTTAGGGTTGCACACAGCAGCATGTGTCTCTCTTAACTTCTGCTTCTTTCTGCCTGAGTCTCTTGTGTCTTTTCAAGTCTCTCCCATTGCTGGGTGTGGTGGCACATTGTCTGTAATCCAGCTACTTTGGAGGCTAAGGCAGGAGAATCAAATTCGAAGTCAACCAGGAGCAATTTAGGAAGATCCTGTCTCAAAAAATAAAAGGGCTGGAATGCAGCTCGTGGTAGATTACCCCTAGATTCAATATCCAGTACTGCATAAACAAAGAAACCAAAAACCTAATTAGTATGTGTATTCATACACAGCCTCTGTGTATGAATGTATGTGTGTTTGTGTGTGTGTGTATGTAGGAGAGAGAGAGAGAGAGCGCTCACATGCACATGCAGAGACATCAAAATAGACAATCTCAGCTTTCTGATGCCTATGACTTTTGGCATATCTTGGAAAGTAGGAGAAATCTCACTATATGCCAGACAAAATAGTAGCCATGTCCTCTGGTCAATCTTAAATAATTCCTGTCTTGTTTCCTTACCCCAGGAAAATGGATGCTTTTGAGAATGCATCTATATTCTTTTTTTAAAATATGTTTAATTAATTAATTTATTTTATGTGGTGCTAAGGATTGAACCCAGGGCCTTGCCCGTGCTCTACCATTGAGCCACAACTCCAGCTTGCATCTATATTCTTCACAGAGCTAAAAATAGAGTTTGGAGTCAGGAAAAGTGCATTTAGGGAGGGAAAAGTGCATTTTGGTAAGTATTAGACTAGTGATGACAGTGACTGACGGGAGGGATACAGGTGTATGTTCTTTTGTTTTTAAATATTGTTAGTTATAGATAGACACAATAACTTTATTTTTATTTATTTACTTTTTTTATGTGGTGCTGAGGATCAAACCCAGGGTCTCACACTTGCATGGCACATACACTTCCCCTGAGCCACAACCCCAGCCTGTAAGTAGTGTTGTTTAGATTCCATACTCTTCCACCTTCCAAGTTCTTTGTATCCTTGACAATGCTGGCTCTGGAGGGAGAAGGGTTGAAGCAGTTTTCTCTCTCTTTGATATTTTTTGATACCTTCAGGCTTTGATGTGTGCCCACCCAGCTCAGGTGCACTGGCTAGCTATCACCAGCTGCCCTTGATTTCCCTGTAGGTTTCATTGCCTTCCACTCAGCGTCCCCTAGTAGTAGATAAGAAATCAGACCCCAATACAAGGCTCCAGGGGCTCTGATAAGGAATGCATATTCAGGAAGCAGGGAAAGTAACTTCTGAAAACAGACTTCACTGCCAGTCCAAATCCTCAGGAATCACCAAGAGAGGGCTATCATTCATTCTAAACTCTCCTAGTGGATAAAAGGACAGTTAATTGAAAACTTTGTTGATCTTCTTTCCACTGTCTCTCTCTTTTTGGTGTTGCTGTGGATTGAACATAGGACCTTGAGCATGCTAAGCACAAACTCTATCATTGAGCTACATCCCCAGCCCCAGTAAACATTTCTTAATATACTTAGCTTTGAAAGCTTCCTGTACCCACTTTTGTGACCATTTATAAGTAATGAGTTTAATATCTAAAAAGATAAGTTTATTAATATAGGAAATGGCTTTGTACCATTTCCAGCATAAAAGGTGTGGCTGTGGGCCGTTGAATGTGTGGCCAGCCTTAGGGGCCTCTTAGAAGGGACAGAAACAGTGCCCAGTACCCAGGCCACTCTGTAGATATGGTGACTTATCATTGTGCTTGCAGAAGTTACACACAGGACCTGGGTTCCTAATTCCTGGACCCCTATCTTGGATGGGGACAAGTTTTCTTTCCACCTGTTAAAGGTGATGATAAGGGTTGGGATTATAGCTCAGTAGTGGAGTACTTGCCTTGTACATGTGAGGCAGTGGGTTCAAGCCTAACCATCACATAAAAATAAATAAAATGTATTGTGTCCATCTCCAATTAAAAAAACAAAAAAATATTTAAAAAGATGATGATAATACCTCGTGGCAATAGGGATGGAATGATGCATCCCTGAAAAGGGCAGAAGTTATGAGTAATGGGGAAATGCTAGGGTCTTCTGGAGATGTGGATCTGAGGTCCCTTCCAGGAGACCTTCCAAAGTGAAGGTGGCACTTGGGACTTACAAATGCCTTCTTTCTTTCTGCTTATTCTCTGTAGCCTGATAGGATAGAAGTTAGCAGGGGAAATGGAAATTTGTGGGCTGAATCCTCACTCTCCTACCAGGCTAGCCCAAGATCTTTTTTTTTCTCTAGAACAGTTTTCTTCTGGAGGGGTCTCTCATGGTGGTTCCCTTTCTTTCATCAGGCTGCAGATCTTATCATTTGTGTATCAAGATCAACTACAATAACAGCTCCTGCAAACTAAGCCCTCACCATGCAACTGTCTGCTAAGCACAGGCAGTATAATCAGAAATAGTTGTCACAAATACTCCAAGTATTTGGTCGTTGGGAATGCAGCTCAGTGGAAAAAGCACTTGTCTAGCATGTGTTAGATTTTGGAGTCCTCAGTAACACCAAAAAAAAAAAAAAAAAAAAAAAAAAAAAGGGGGGGGGGAGGGGATCAAAGTTGATTTCGTCATTCATCGTTCCTATTTCATGGGTGAAGGGATAAAAATAAGTTGGTTGTTGAAATGCATGCAGCAAACAACTAACAGGATTTGACTCTAAAATATGTGTTAGTGGTGCCTCTGAATCTGAGGTTAGGGAACTTTATTTACATCCTGACCTGAAAGGCATTCATTCCATAAATATGTATTGAGAGTATCGATGGCCCCTGCCTCTTGCTGCTTGTGCATGATTGCTCATCAGAAGGTTGAGACTGTCTATTTTGAGGGATCTAGTAGAGAAAAAAATAAATAAATAAACGCTTCCTGAGAGAACCCGAGGAAGGGCAGAGGAGTCTCTCCTCTGGGGTCTCTCCCAGTTGTTTTGGATGAGGTTTGACCCCCTCTCAGTGCCCTCTCCCTCAGGTTCCCTGTGACTGCCCAGGTAAGCAGATCTGGGGTTCACTCTCTCTGAGGAACCTGAGGAAAGTCGCAGCTGACTTCTCGCTGCCTAACTGTGTGAGGGCGGGAGGTGCGCAGAGCGCTACCGAGGGGGCCGTCCCTTGGGACGCGGGTTCGCTGTTCCGGTTGGTTCTGGGTCTTAAGAGGCTTGGACACTGACCGGAAGCTGCCCTTTGCCAGGCGGGCTTTGAACTCACTGGAGAAGGGGATTCGGAAACAACGTGAGGGTTTCGAAGGCAGCCACGCCCCTCGGGACCCACGGGAGGGCCTAGCCTCCTTTCCTGCGCACAATCAGGCCCACATAAACAACCCCATAAGCCTCTTGGAGGCTCCTCGGCGAGGAGCCAAAAGACAGCCAATTGGAGCTGGCTCATGGGTGACAAATAGCCAATGAGCACAAGGAATGTAGGTTGAGGCGGGTCCTCAGGTGAAGCCTGCTCTGAGGCGAAGGTCCAGGCAATGTGGGCGGGGCTTTCCTGCAGCGGAAATGATCCCGCCCCCCTCGCCGTGAATTGGCTCCTCTGGTCCAACGGAAGTGCCTGTCAAGCTGCCACCTACGACGCTTGCGCAGCCAGTGGGGCACTCCTCTACGGACTCAACACAGTAGGGGTTTTTGTCTGTTTCTTTCACCCGTTTGAGGGTCTGCGGTCTACCTTGAGGGTGGTGGTCTTTAGTAATCATCGCCTTAGAGGCTGTGAGGGGCAGTCGACATGAAGGGACAGCATAGTGGGTGAGGCTGGCAGGGCGGAGCGCCCTTGGCAGATTCTGTGAGTGAGGCCAGATGCCCAGCAAGGGGCCTTAGATCCTGGAAGAGTTTCCAGCCAAGGGGAGATACTAGTAGATTTGCATTTGGAAACGTCCTTTGGGGAGCTGTTTAGGAGGGTAAGAATGAAGACCTGGCTAAGAAGAGAGCACCTGAAAAGGATCTCCTTCTCAGGCTATGACTCTTATCAAAAGGAATAGACAATGGACTAAGAGCTCAAAAGTCCTATCACTCAGCATGATCAGCCTGTCCGTGGACCAACACTGTTAGGAGGTTATGCAACACAACTCCCTTTCCCTGCCACATTCAATCCAGTTCTACAAGCAACTCCATATCTCCCTTATTCAGTCCTTTCTTTCCATCCTAGACCTTATCCCCTCTCCCGTGGACACCCAGCCTTTCCCAATGTGAGCAACTCAGTAGCTGCCCTGTTTAGGCATAGCTTTCCTGCTCATGTGCCTCTACTGCCCCCATGGAGGGGCCCACTCCATGCATTGGTGTGTTTATTTTGATCACTTGTCTCCCTTTTCTCCCATTTCCATTGACTGCTTATTATTCATGGCATTGCTCTCATGACTCGTGGCAGGAAGTGGATATATGTATGAAATAAATATTGAACAAAATGATGAGTAAATTACTGAGCAATATGGGAATGAATGGATACACTTATGGATGGATAATTAGGTCTTTAAAAATCCTCTTAAGCCAGGCGTGGTGGCACCACATGCCTGTTTATCCCAGTGACTCCAGAGGCTGAGGCAGAAGGATTGTAAATTCAAAACCAGCCTCAGCAATTTAGTGAGGCCCTAAGCATTTTATCAATACCCTGTCTCAAATAATAAATAAGAAGGGCTGGGGGTGTGGCTCTGTGGTTGAGCGCCCCTGGGTTCAATGCCTAGTACCAAGCAGCATCTGAGAGTTGACCACTCTTCCTTGACCAGTCTTCTCTCTTTCTCTTCTCAGCTCTAGACCACCATGCCTACTTCTGTCTCCTGTCACCACATGAATGTTTCACTGGCTTCTAAAGCTCAAAATTTCCCAAAATAAATGCTTGGTTTCCTCTTCAGACTACTCCACCTACTCTCTATCCCCCATCCAAGTGGTAAAAACAAAAACCCTGAGCATCATCCTAGATTTTACCTGCCCCCAAGTCTTTATATCCAATCATAAAACAATGCTTGTCCTTTCTGCTTCCTAAATATCTCTATGACTCATGTGTTTTCCTCCTCTGCTAGTCACACAAAGTACAAGCTTTGGCTTTCAAGGCTCTGCTAGAACCACCCTCTCTGAACTCTCCCTCAGTTCTCCCCCATGCTTGATAAGCTCAAGCAACTCGAGAGTCTTTTGTCAATTCAAGACCTTTTAAGTCTTTGCACATTGCTACTCCTTCTGGAGCATTCCCTATTCTCCATATCCATGTACTGAAGTAATCTCTGATGGTTTTTGAAGAACTATAATACTTTTTGCATAGCTTTAAGTTGTTTAAAGTTTTTAGCATAGGGCTGGGGATTTGGCTTAAGCGGTAGCACGCTAGCCTGGCATGCGTGCGGCCGGGTTAGATCCTCAGCACCACATAAAAACAAAGATGTTGTGTCCGCGGAGAACTAAAAAATAAATATTAAAAATTCTCTCTCTCTCTCCCTCCCTCTCTTCTCTCTCACTCTCTCTTAAAAAAAAAGTTTTTAGCATAAACTTAAATAATTGCAAAAATATAATTTCTGGTATATTTTAATATAAATAAGTTAAAGTAAAAAAGTTATGTGATGGGGCTGGGGCTGTAGCTCAGTGGCAGAGCGCTTGCCTAGCATGCATGAGACAATGGGTTCTATCCTCAGTACCACATAAAATTAAACAAATAAAATAAAGGCATTCTGTCCCATCTACAACTACAAAAAAAAGATTGATTAAAAAAAAAGTTATATGATTCTTACTAGAGCCAGTGGAATCTGAACACCATACTATTTGACTTCAATCATAGTCCATTTGAGATTTGCATAAACTCTTTGTTTAGCATTAATTTATTTCACACTCTTTTTCCTCCTCAGTCTATATTTCCTTACTCTTTCACCCATAGAACCTAACGTCATATATTTTATTCTTGAAAGGGTTTTATTGACCACCTGTCAAGAGTCAAATACTTTCTGTGTCTTCTTAGCCTAGTGCATGATCCTTATGTTTACTGAGTGCTTGCTATCTGGTTGACTTTTTCCAACACTTTCTTTGTGTTAACTCATATAATCCTCACAACTGTTCCTAGAATTAAGATCTGAGCTGCCTGAATCAAAGGCCAATATTTGTGAGAGGAAGTTTAGTAGGAAGAAATCAGGCTTGAGAGCTAGCAATCTTTTTTTTTTTTTTTTTTCCATTTTGGGGCTTGAACCCAGGGGTGCTTTACCACTGTGCTACATCTCCAGCTGTCTTTATTTTTTTTTTTTAATCTTGAGCCAGGCTCTTGCTAAATTTCCAGTGCTGGCCTCAAAATTGTAATCCTCTTGCCTCAGCCTCACAAATTATTGGGATAAGACATGTAACAGTGGTTCACTTTATGTTTTGAGTATAGCCCTTGCTGCTCTGCCACATGCAACAGTTTT